ACAGAAATCTTGAATTTTCAAGTGATTATTCAGTTTTCTCGGCCATACCTTGTGTTAGTTGTGTAATGCATTTCCATGACAGGAGCAAACAGCTTTAAAATAATGTCCAGCAGTCAAAATTTCATTGCACAGCCTCTGTGGTTATAAACCATGTTACATGTAGGCCAACAGTGCTTGAGCTTTTCACAGATAAACACACACACGCTCTTTATCCTTAACAGCTATGTTACTCTGAGAATAAAAGGTAGCAGCAGCTTGAGTGGCATTAAAATGAAGGGAAAGTGCAAATAAAATTCAGATTTATTTCAGTTTCATTTCTACTTAACTGCAGTTATTCATAACATCTAAATGCACATTCACTGCAGTTTCTAGATGCAATATAGTAGGTTTTATGCAGTTAAAATGAGTTTATGTACAAGAGAATTGCCACAAGGCAATTCAAAACTGCTTTTCAAAAACCCTTTTCCAAACTAAGTTGTATAGCAATAATTCTATTTGTGTTGTATCAGCTGGCCCAGAACTACAAATTCGAAATTACCAGGAAGAAATCTAGGATTAAAAAAAAAAAAGATATTTGCAGAATCCATATGAAATGGCCAAACATACTATGAATTAAACAGAGGAAAAAAGTGACAACAGACTCTTCTTTGTTTGGTGACACACTTGCAGTGTAAGCACATATCCACATTCTAAATCCTGATATATTTTGCATCTATCATACTTCAGTATTTTTAATGCCCCCTCCCAAGCTCAAATTGTTAATCATAATTTGCATGTGATACTCTTCAGTTTGTTTTATGTGACCTTACAAAGACATCAAACCATAAAGATATTAAAGGACTTCCATGATATTTTCTTCCCTTATAGTTAAGATAACATTTCCTCTGGAATTTGTAATACATTGGAGAAGTCCCTGTTGGTCTCCATATTGTTCCACATTTCCCTTGGATTTCCCATAGCTCTTTGGAGGCACTTTCAAAAAGATAAAGGAAATTATTCACTTGGCCTCTCTTGCCACCCACAGAAGGAAATGCAGTTTCTAGAATCAGTAAGAATTTCAAATTCTCCAATTCACTGAACCATCTCTGGGAATAGACTGCAATTTTAAGCTCCCCCACTGACAACAACTTGCACGTGCTTCAAATGCAACCAGCCCTCCTCCAGCAGGAGAGTCACACACAGGGAGTTAATTATCTGTACTTGGCTGTAATTGGAGACCTCCAGTGAGGTTGTACAGAGGAGAATATCATGTTATTGCAAAGACTCATTAGGATGTACCCTGTGCCCTGAAGAGTTTACAAAACCTGCTAAAAAAGCAAGGAGAGATGAGCTGAAAAGGAGAAAGAGTTCCAGGAGGAAGAGCTCTGATTCATTTGTATGAACTTATTAATAAGAACTTTGCTTGAACCACTAAACAAAAAGCTTCAAAATATGTACCCACAACTCCAGTTCAACAACAGCTGCCTTTTTTCCTTCCCCCCGTTTTTTCTTTATATAAGGAAGGATGCTGGAAGAAGCTAAGTTTTTAGCATTCCTACTGTTGTAACAAACTAAAAATTGTACAAAAAAATCTCCACTCAGAAAAAGATCAATGGCTCCCAATCATTATCTGAGCAGAATATTAAAGTAAGACATGCATAATAAAGTAATTTTGTTTCATTTTTGAGAAGTGATGGCATTTAGTGAGATTCAGTAAATTGTCCCTTTCAGCACTAATAACATGTTCATAGCTTTCCCCACCAGACGTTCCATAATGGCAATATAATAGGATTGCAATGACAATTAAATGATTGCATATTTTAGGGCAATGGAGGGTATCCACTAGGGCATGAACCATTAGCAAAATGGTAACACTGTCACAGGAATTTTCATGCTTTGGCACAAAAACTGAGAAAGCAGAAGCACTGGAAAGCAGGTATTCAATTCTCACACCATCTTCCTGATTAACAATAGCAGAGAAATGAAAACTGATAGTGAACCTTAAAATATCCAACAAAAAAAAAAAAATAAAAAAAAAAATCAAAGTTCACTTTCAGCCTTTCCCACCTCTCCCAAAGAATCTAAATTCTCATCACAGGCATTCACTGAAGATCAGATGCAGCCTGGGGTGACAGCACAGAGGGTTCTGCTCATCCCTTCCCCATGTCCCAGCTCTTCTTCCCAATTCTCCAAGAGCTACTGCCCTGGGTGACCCCACACAGAAACCTCTTCATTCCTCAACACACGTGGCCTGGGAAGCCTTTCCCAAACAAGACACTTAGGGAAGCTACCAAACACAACCAAAAAATAGGTGAATAAAAGGGGAAAAAACCCAAATCAACCCAATGTTATTATTTTGGGGCTTTTTTCCCAAATAAATTCATCTAAACAGAACTAACAATAAGGGCAAAGTCCAGCAGGCTGCTGAAGAAAGTTCAGACTCAACATGAATGTGGTCACTGGAATTTATTTATTTTTAATACTTCCCTCAGATATCACAAGTGGTTCCATATAAAGTGCATATATAAGTTTAGATACTGCCAAAATATGAATTCTCTCCTAGATCTAAGTTTACTTCCCTAATGCAGAATTACAGGGAAACACTGACATAAGAGAATGCTGAATTCCATCATTTGAAACATCACTTCAAGAAACCATACACATTTCTCATCCTTTGCTTAAGAGAAAAAAAAAAAATTAAAAAAAAGTGAAACAGCAATCATAGTAAAATAAAATGGAGTAAAAAAACATATGCATGAGACAATGTTTCTCCTGCTATTTGATTACTGCTGGAGGACAGAAACCAAATGACATTTGTTATACTGCTGCATAATCCCATTTGCAATGATGGCTCTCTGGTGTGGCAGAGAGAAGGGTGTATCAGAATGCCTTTAAGTGTTTGTTATCCCTTTATTTTATACATCTAACTAGTGGCCAATATCTGCTGAGAAAGTATTCAATAACAGCTCTTGGAGTGTTTGTGCACATACAGTGATACACATCCAGCACAGAGCACGTGGCCAGGCCATTATTTCCCAACCCTAGAAAACAAATCTACAGGAATTAAAAGGTAAACCCTCCAGAACTCAGCTAACCAAAACCATTGTTTTCCTTCTTTCATAGGCAGTGAAATGAAAATTAAATTACAGTCACTATTAAACTAACAAAAATTATCCAAGAATTTTCTGTTAAAGATGTTTACCACACTTCAAATTACTAGATGGACATTAACTGGGATGGAATTCATTTACTGTGAGTGCTGCCCTGTGCTAAAGGGACCCTTGTTCAGAGCACACACACCTCTTCCCAGTTAATGAAACCCCTTCCTAAGCCCCAACACAAAAGCTGCATCCCATCCCCTCAGTGCCTTTCTTCCTTTTATAAGTGGGGATTAAAAACTACACTGCAGCAGTCAGAGGATACTGACACTGAAGAACAGTCAGTCAACAACCTTGAGCTCATCAAAGAGAAGCTAAACAAATTATTAATGCATACCATGATAGACAGACACTGCTTATTAATGACTAGAATTCATCTTCTAGAGAGGCCATTGAGGCTGAAGCCTACTCACTTTGAAATCCACTTCATGATTTCAGAATTTTAACTCCCCTTTCTTTTCCTAATAAAACAAAATGCAAGTACCTGAAGTTGCCTTCCAGGACCTGAAACCTACAGCAGCTCTCGTTGTCTTTCTTTGTTGTTCCCCAGAAACACTGTAAAACTACTTTTGAATTTGCTGCTGACTATCTCTAGAACCATAAAGTTGGAACCAGGAACATCTGCTGGTTGCACAGCCTGGAATGCATTTTTTATTTATTACTTGAAAGGAATATATAAAAGAGTCTCCACTCCTGTAGTCTGCTCATCTCTGTATGCTGCTAAGATAGCTCTTAAAAATAGCAAAGTGACAGGAGAGAAAGTTTGAGAGAGGTTCTTCCAGGCCTGCCACATAGCTGGGAGGCATTAAAGACTGGCTCAGGTGTCTTGGCATATGGGACTCCCTGAGAGATGTCAGCACGTGATTCCACCTGGAGAGAAACAAAGCTTCCCAGGCATGCAAAGCAGTCCATCACACTCATCCAAAGAGCAACAGAGAGAACCTGGGAGAAGAGCAGCAATTTGAGAACCACATGAGTCCTCCAGGCTTCCTGGGTAAATAGCAGGTGTTGAAATAGCTTTAAGAAGGGAACAAATAACCCCCAACACGCACACCATTTAGGTAAGGATTTAACACAGTAGACGAAATAATAATATTGGAGTTTTCCTTTCACACAGCTTATGTTGTAAAGGCATAATATATTTTAGACTCAGAAGCTGGGTACGGTAAACAAGTCTTTAAGGGACAGACCTCACTAAACAACAACTCGTTTTTAAAAAAAAAAAGGAAAAGCATCCACAAAACTGGATAAATGCATCCAATTATCAAGACAAATATTGTTTCAGAACAACTCAAAAACCTTGCATGCAAATTCTTTATCTCTAGGAGGACAAAAATAAATGTTTGCTGTATGCTAAACAAAATTAAGATTTGCCACAGAAGGAAGAAAAAGCACTTTGAAACATCACATTGTACAGCTGCAAACAGAAAAGGGCTTGTGCAATTGGCAAATGTCTTAAGAACATCATTCCACTTTTAATGTTACTAATGAGGAACTTCAAAATCCAAAATTAAAACTCAGAGAAAAAAAAAACAACAAAAAACCCAACAACACAACAAATTAAGCACTTCAAGTTTCTTTTAGTTGGAGCAAATAATAAATCACATTCTCTTCCCACAGTGATGATCTGTTAGCTCTCAAGACCTTGAGCTCTGCAGTGCCTCTGCTTGGCTATTACAGATACAAATAAGTTTGCTACTTTCAACTACTCAGTTCACTTTAGCACAAAAACACAGGCTATAATTAGAAAAAAAAATAAATAAAAACCACTATAAACATCTCCTAAGGATTTCTATCATAAAGGCCACAATGCAGAAACACCAAAACTATACAATTATAAAAAAAAAAAACAACCAAACCTACCCGATATACTGCATGCTTTCTTCTCAAGAGCCCACAGGGAACTGAAGGCTGGGAACTTCCCAGCTGTTTTTAATTGTCCCAACAGTTAATTGCCCTCACCTGCATCTCATCTGAGCCAATTTCCTACCCTGGGGCCACCTCAATCCTTTTCAGGTGCAACCTGGCTAGACTTGATTGCTGATCCACCCCCAAAGTTATTGCAAAGGTCAAGAAAGATCAATAGACATTCAAAAAATCTGAACAAAGATCTGATTTTTTTTTTTTAAAAAAAAGATATATTTAAAAGCATCTGAACAAAGATCTGTTTTCTGTCGCTGAAAGGAGGATTTCCACTATTCACAGTGGGTGCAGTAAATCCAACATACTGAGGGCAGTTTTCCTCCAAGCTAATAATGGCCATAGCTCAAGTTAAGGTTGGAAAAAACAAATTTTAAAAAATTCTTATAGATTTCTTAGGGCTTTTCCAATGCACATCTCACTGAAATTTAGCCCAAGCACTTGTGGAAAACAGTACTTGGGATATAATTTCTACAGCTAAAGGGGTGGGAAATCTTTTTATCAAACCCTTCCCCCTACCCCTTACACTTTGCTTCAAGCAATATGTTCTTTCAGTTACATAAAGAGCACATTTAAATTATTTAGCTATGTTACATAAGGCAAGAAGATGGTTAATACATTTAATGTGCATGTGCAAATGAGTTTGGTTCCACTTCTTTTGCCCTAGTGTACAAGTCCAGAAACACTTCTGCACATCTCTCCCTGCAATTAGTTCTTGTGTCTCCTTCATTGTTTCCTCACCATCTAATTCCATAATTCATTGTCTTTACTTCTTCAGCTTTGAAAGTAGGACATTTCTTCTTGGGGCCACGTTATGTAGCATGCCCTGAAGACCTGGCACACATTTCAGGGCATGAAAGGAAGGCTTCTCCTTTACTGTAAATATACAAATAATGCATTTTTAAGACTTCTGATAGGAATTTTAGGACATAACCTGTAATCCCACAGGATAAGCTGTGTTGCATTAATAGAACTTTATGACTGAAGAAATAAGTGCCTTAAAACCCAAAAAAATGACCCACATGATGCATTAATGTCTGCACTCCAGTAAGGTACAAGGCAGGGAGCTGCATACCTTTTCTGTCCCATTTTTCTATGGGATTACAGGAGGCTGGAGGAAGGGTTTTGAAGCCTTGCCATTAGGAAACAAAGAGAAGCATCACAGAACATTTCTAGATCTGGTCAGAGCAATCTCTTGGGTTTAGGGCCTGGCTTTCACAGTTCTGGAACCTGGTAAAAGACTGGAAGGTCCAGGCTAAATTTCTACCATGTTGAAATTGGAGCCATCATAACAATACCTTCCCATAAGAATTACCTACCAGAGGTGTTCTAGAGGAGCTCCTGAACTCTGGGAGTTCATGGAAAACTCAAATTTGAAATAATTTCCTGTCAGAAAGAATGGAAAGAAATGAATAGGTGTTTTTTGAGGGGTTTTGGGAGTTTTTATCCCCTCAGGTGTTTATTTAAGTGAAAGGAGAAAGCAAGAAGTGTTTTAGACAGTGTTAATATAAGAGTTATTCACAGGAATGTAGATTGTTGACACACTTTGCAAAGTGAATATGTGGAGTTTTGCAATAACTAAACTACAAAAATGCTTAATTTTACTTTAAATTGATACAGAGGGGAAAAAAAAAAAAGATCATGCCATAATTCCAAAGCTGTTGAAATACTAGCCTTAATATCTCACTAGCTAAATGAAGAGTCACCTGCTTTTGTGAACAGGTATGTTAAATCAAATTATGCAGAATGAGCCTGCCTTTCCATTTGCCAGCGTGGCTGGCCAAGCCTGGAGCAGTTGGCTGACTGCAGAGGCCTCAAGGATAGACAGGCATTTTGAGAATCCAAAACATTGGCAAACACCTTCACAATCTAGTTTATAGCCTCACAAGCAATCTGCACAGCCAGCAATGGACCTGCAATGCACTGGAGCACACCCAGTTCTCACAGGGCAGGGGGAAAGGAACTGCTAAGTCCTTCTTTGGGAGGCTGTTTGGGGGGAACCAAAGCTCCTTCATCAATATTTGCAGCTGGAGGCAGCTCCTGCACCTGAGCCACCCTCCCAAGGGAGCCCAGCACTGGATCAAGTGGCTCTCCAAAGGTCTGACTTCCATCAGCACCTCTGGCTTTGCATCTTTCCCGTGCTTTATCTACCAGAGCTGCAGCCTAAGCAGCTGCAAACCAATAATCCCACCTTCCAAAACAAACAGAAACCCCCTCAATAAACCCTCCTGCTCCTTACATTCACATTTAATAGTCACCTCCTGAGCACAGTGACCTGCTACATTGCATCAAAACCCCTTCACTCTGAGCTTCTTTTAATATTCTGAAAATCACTTTCTTCAAGTGTTTTCCAGTGTTCCATAATGTTGCTGTGGCAGCAACTGTTAACCAAAGGGATTTAGATGATGCTGCTCAGTTCAACCTGAAACAAAGTCAACAAAAACTGTGTTTTTAAACTGAGGGGCAAGCACACAATCATCAGGAGTCAGTGTTTGGGCTGTCCCAGGAATAAGTCAGGACCATGTAAGGTTGCTGGGTTTTGTTTTAAATTCCTGTTCTGTCTTCTCAAGAGAATATTTTCCACACAGCAAGGAAAGAGCTGATGTCAGGAACTGTCTTTAACAGTCTGTGCTTCCAAAGCATCTCAATTAACCTAAATCTGGCTGTTTAATAATAAAGGAGACACAGGTGAAGTGTTACACTTGGATACTATGCTAGGTTAAACCCTGATTTTCTCAAAAGAGTGACCATTAACCACTCACTGAAAAAACTGGCTGAGTTTTGTCTCCCATCTGCATAGAGATATTCCAGTGGAGTGGTTTGACACATTTAAAATTGCAGCTGATCTTCATAGCCTAAAATACACACAGAGCGTCAAGTGGCTCTTTCCAACGCAGCAATGATACATTTTGTTAAGCTGTAGAAAATATTTATAACTAATTAATCATTGCAGTAACTTGTACTTGACTGTAAAGCACTTCAAACTCTGTGGAGGGTCTGTGTGGATCAACACTACTCAGCTGGAAGCAAAGGAGGAATTCCACATCCATCCAAGACCCAGGGAAGGCTGTGGATGACTACAAAGAACCCCCAGATCTGACTGCAGAGAGCACCCAAAGGCTGTCATTACAGCAGCTACATAAAAATATTTACTGGGGGTGTGCAGGAGGAAAAACAGTAAAAAGGAGTAAATCCAACTGCAGCACATCCATCAGTATTCTTCCCTAAAACTTCCTCAAAACAGGACTGGATGTACATTCACAGCATGGAACTGATACCTCTACACTGATTGTCTCTCCACATCTCAGCTTGGCCTCTTTGTGAATTCCCCTCTGCAGCATGCAGGGCAAAATCAGCCTCAGTCTTAAAACAATCCAAAAGAAAAGAAACAGAAACACATTCCTCTGACACGGGTACATGGAAGAGTTAATGACAGATCATTCATTAAATCTCTCAGAGGTGCTGAATACAGGCATTAATTGTCACAACTCAACACTTTTAAAATTTTCCCAGCCCCCACGAAACCGTTCCTGTAAGTTTGATTATTTTTTTTATTGCAGCATGTGCTGTGCAGAAGGCACACACAAATCCTCAAAAAGCAGCTTCCAAAAAAAATCCTGGTGAACACAGCACAGAAGGCTCCTCTGAAGACAAAGAACAAGACATCAGTGTCTCATCTGCTGTGAATTAGTTTGCTTCTTTTCCTTCAAGAACTCTTTAATGTGAGAATCCGATCAACAGTTAATCTCCCTGAGCAGACACCACTTTGTTTTCCTCCGTGGTAGTTCTCTGCTCCTGGGGTAATTTGTTGCTGAACAATTGAGGCAAACACTTGGCTCAGGATAGAAAGAAGTAAGATTAGTCTGTAATTGGAATATTTTGTCTCATTTATTCTTGAAGATGTGCCATATTACACTCCATCAGCCAGGGGTTATTGTTTTATGAAATCAAGCTGCACCTGGCACTGCAGTGTACAAATGCTGCTGTTTGCAATCCAGCTCTCTGTTCATCCAGGTCTCGGTGCCACTGCTGCCTCATCCTCTGCTGGAACCTTCAGCCCCTCAGCTAATTATCCTATAAAGCCTTTAATTGAAAAAAACCAAAAAAAATGTCTAAGACAACTGTTAAATTTAGCCATAATATTGAACACAACTGTTAAATGTCACAGTAATCCATGCAATTCTCTCCATATATTTATTTTCTACTTCCAGCAAGTTTTCAAGATGATCCCTTCTTTAAGCAATTACTACTGCAAATGAAGAAGCTAACTGACTGCATCCCTGTTTCTTTTAGATTGACCTCTAGGATGTTTTGTGTGCTTTGAGATGAATGCAGGCAAAAATCAAGAGGGTATTTGAAATTCAGCTGTATTTATGACATACTTGCTCTGGTGTTTCTTTCCCCACATGGGACAGCATGTTATTGGAAAATACATTTAAAGAAGTTTTAGGATTAGACCTAATTTTCAGTATTTCGAGGAATATAAATTTTCTTTCCTGTTATCTAATTTTGCATAAGTACCTGCTGCAAAATTCACCTTTGAAAGACATTCTGCCATAAGGAATAAAGAGCCCATGAAACATGTGCAGCATCACCTGTAGGCAGCTAAGCCTGACCCAGCCTCTTGCACATACACAAAGCTGACAGGTATTTTGATGGTCTTAATTAAGCCAAGTTTTTCCTGGGAAGTTTATACTAACGTCACAACTGCAAAGTCAAATATTTACACAGCTAAAACAGAGGAGAATAAACATTCAGAGATAAATCCTGTTTTGAAGACGTCAGGTGGAAAGGGTAGAACAAAGGATTTTACACAGGTCCTGTTGAAGCATTATAGTATCAAAGGAGGATAAAAAGGAGTTTGCTTGGCTTGGTAGAGATTTGGCCAGAGCATGGTTGGTTCTTTAACTTGGAAAGAGAGAATCAAAGACAATTAAATAATTATTAAATAATGAGGGAGAAAGGA